CGTTATAAATTTAGAATAGCATTCAAAATACGTTTCAAGTGAAAATATGGAAAAATAGTTTTGTTTTTATTGAGGAGTTGTACCTTTCAACTATCAGCATTCAGTTTACGGGAAGTTTAAGGCTTCTCAACGAGGTTATGCCATCTGTGAATGATGCTCGAAATGGTAAAAGGGGCGGTGATGGTGATGGTGCTAAGGTCAGGTTTCAATGTTTTTGGAGAGAAAGGGTAAAATTGGAGATCAACCACCTACAATGAGTTGACAGGCGGTAAGTCTAATTTGGAGATATTGATGAACTTCTGATTTTTGTTTCATTTTGAAGTTTGAATTTACAGTGCTCAGTGTCCCTTAACGTGCACCTGAACAATGTGCTAATTTTATTTGAAGGCAAAAAATTCTAGAAAAATAACTTTGAACTAAAAAGTGTTTGATGGACTAATAATGTGCTCAGCGCCCCTTAATTTGCATTCCTTACACATTTGTAAAATCTATATGAGAAGATTATGAGGATCTAGTATTGTGGACGCAATTCTTACATACATGGTGAGCATTATTAGCCCCTTGTTACTACTGCTCATGATTGTTGTCTTTAATTTCATTCACCACTTTGACCTTTTAGGGTGCTCAAGGTTTTGGTTTATAATTTATAAAATAATGTGTCTACAAAATAACATATAAAAGAAAGGATTTTAGTCAACGATTACAAAATTTTTTCCCATAATAGAAACAAGAGGAGCACTGGTCAGTTTTTGTTTGGAACATACCTGAATAGATTCTAGGATATCAATTAGTTATGCACAAACAATGCACAAATACTGCAAATTTGTTGTCTAACTACTTGTTGGGTTCTTATTGTCTTCCATACAATCGCAGAATCGTAATAATCTTCTCCTGTAGATGCTTTACAACCAATTTAACCAGGAAAACCCAACTCAACAAAATGCTTCATATTTGCAGAATGAGATGATAAACTTTCCTGCAGCCATACATAGATGAAAAAAATGTCAAAAATAAGTTAGCATTTTATTTTAAATATGTAATACTTTAACACGGAAATTAAAGGGGTGTACGGACAACCACCTCAATTCAAAAAAAAATATTGAAATCTTAAAATCTCAATAAAAAACAATATTTTATTCTAAAAATTATACATTTTTTTTAAATCATAGTTCAAATTCAGAAGAAAAATAAAAAGGTTGCAATATAAAGACATTATATCATTAGCGTAAATTATTAGCACAACACTAGTGTGCAAATTAAGGGGCACCGAGCACATTATTATCCCATCAATCAGTTTCTAGTTCAAAGTTAGTTCTTAAGAATTTTTTGTATGTTTGAATAAAATTAGCACTTTTTCAAGTTGCAAATTAAGGACCACAGAGCACTACAAATTCAAACTACAAACTAAACTAAAAAACAAGTTCAACATCTCCAATTCGAGCTTGCTGTCTCATCAAGAACAATAGCACTCCCGAATACCTCCACTTCATCATATGTCTTCCAATCAATGATCCACTACCATGATCATTCTCCTGAACACTAACAAAAACAAGATCTAAGTTAAATAAATCAAGCACAAACCTCATCCTTTGACCAATGATCTTTCCAACTATCCGAATATGAAAGATAAAGTCGATTCTCGTCGTAACCTAAAGAACTCTAAGCAAAATCGGTACTTTTTCTCTCTTCTGCAGCTTCAATTTCAAGAGTCAGGAAAAGAATACAAAGCTCAAAATTGTTAGATATCAATTTTGCGTGAAGAAAAATAGGTGTGCGTTCAAACAGATACTGCTAGTAGACCTATAAATTTACGAAAAAATAGGGAACAGTCATAACTGCATCCACTCAAAAACCGTTCAACTTTTTTTTCCAAAGTATTAATCAATTTTGTTAAAAAATTTTAAGACATAGCAGGAATGTACATTGTTTGTGAATAACTAATTGTTATATTCTCATAGTATCCATTCAGGTATGTTGCAAATTGACAAAAAATATTTATTAGGGTTCCTCTTGTGTGTATTATGTGGAACTTTGAACCCTTTGATTAAATCCTCTCTTTTATGTGTTCCTTCCAAGACACATCATTTTAGGAATTAGGTAGCAAAACAAAACCTAAATCACCCTAAAAGACCAAAGTGGGAAATGAAATTAAATACAACAATCTTCGGCAGCTATAACAGGGGGCTAATAGTACTCACCATATATGTAAGAATCGCGTCCACATGATGGTAGAATCATCATAATCTTTTCCTTTATATGTTTTACAACCAATTTAATCAGGAAAACTCATCTCAACAAAACGCTTCATATTTGCAGAATGAGATGATAAACTTTCATGCAGCCATATCGATGCAAAAACGTCAGAAATAAGTTAGTTATTATTTTTAATATGCAATACTTTAATACATAGATTAAGGGGGTGTACACACAAACACCTCAATTCAAAAGAAAGCTTGAATCTTAGAGTCAAATCTCAATATATTATTAGCGCCCATTATTAGCACAGTATTAATGTGGAAATTAAGGGGCACTGAGAACATTATTATCCCATTAAACAGTTTCTAGTTCAAAGTTAGTTCTTTAGAATTTTCTGCATTCAAATAAAATTAGCACGTTTTTAAGGGGAAAATTAAGGAGCACTGAGCACTACAACTTCAAACTCCAAAATTAAAACAAAAAAACAAGTTCATCATCTTCAATTCGAGCTTACCGCCTCATCACGAACAAGGGCATTCCCGAATACCTCTACTTCATCATCTGTGTTCTAATCAATGCTCCCACTACCAGCATCATTCTCCTAAACCTAATAAAAACAGGATCTACATTAATTAAATCAAGCATGAACCTCATCTACAGATCAATTTTCATGTCCCCCGTTTGAATCTGAAAGATAAAGTCGATTCTCGTAGTAACGTGATGAACTTTCAGCAAAAGTGGTACTTTTTCTCTCTTGTGCAGCTTCATTTTCAAGAGTCTACAAAACAATAAATACCTAAAAATTATTAGACATCAACTTTGCATTAAGAAAAATAGGTGCACATTCAAATTGATATTGCTAGAACTCAAGTGTTGGAATATGAATTGATGATTGATTCCATTGATGTACTGTGTACTTATATAGATAGATTACTGTGATAGGGATAACTCCTATACCAACTATACAACTATATCAACATGTGGAGATATTCCTTTAGTAAAGATAAATATGACAGCAGTAGATAAGTATTACATTAACAACGCCCCCTTAAACGGAAGGCGGAATAGGGAGTAGCTGAAGTTTGTAGGAGAACTTCTGAAAAAGATCCTTAGCAACAGGCTTTGTGAGTATATTGACAAGTTGGTCTGCTGCAGAGATAGAACGAACCGACACAAGCCCTTGCTGCACATGTTGACGGATGAAATGAAAGTCAACCTCGACATGTCGTGTCCGCACCCGAAAGACTGGATTGGAGGCCAAGAAAACGGAACCATTGTTGTCACACCACACCGTTGGCGGACGTTGCACAGGAACAACAAGTTCACTCAGCAAGGCACAGAGCCAATGCAACTCAACGCACACATTTGGGATGGATCAAAATTCAACTTTGGTTCAAGATCTCGCTACAGTTGGTTGCTTGCGCGACGTCCAGAGATCGAATTAGAACCAAGGTAGATCAAAAAACATGTGGTGGACATGCGCTCATCAGGGTAGCTGGCCCAATCGGCATCGATGAAGGCTGAGAGGTTGCGGATTGGAGCTGAGTGCAGAAACAAACCCCGATTGACTGTCCCTCTCAAGTAGCGAATCACTCTTTTCAGAGCTTGCAAATGAACGATGGTGAATAAATTGGCATAACCTGTTAACTGTGAAACAAATGTCCGGGCGAGTAATGGTGGCGTATTGAAGACTCCCACATAAACGCCGGTAAGTGGCAGCTTCATCCGGAGGCAACGAGTATCCATCTTGCCGAGAAAGAATCAATCCCGAAACCATTGGAGTTGCACATGGCTTACTGGAAGCCATATTTTCTGTTTTGAACATATCAGCAAGATATTTACATTGAGACAAAACAATACCATTAGGGCGATGAATCACTTCAATGCCAAGAAAGAAATGTTACCGGCCAAGATCCCTGATGTAGAATTCCGGATATTTTTATTTATATAGGTCTGAAAACCTTACTTCTGGACACAAAAGGCCACACAGAGGCTGCTGTGGTCGCAAATACCCTTTCCGCAAAACAGATATGCGGTTTTCATACAAAACCGCGTACAAGGAATGCGGGAATACAAAATAATCACATCAACACATTGCGGTAGTAAATATTTCTGCATACACAGAATATGGTTTTATTAAACCGCAAACGGCCGATGCGACTTTCTTTGAAACATTAATTAAAATAATATAATTAATTACGTTTAACTCCACTAAATCTGAATTAATAAATAAACCGCATGCAAGGTATGTAGAAATAAATAACCGCAATACTCGGTTGTAGTTTTTGGCATTACCGCAATTTAGTAATGCGGATTTAAATATTTGATGTTACCAAATTTTCAATGTGGTATTATTAAATTTGTGAAAAAAAATAATAAATAATAAAATATAATTAATTATTTTGTGAGCGAAAATATTTTACTACAATATATTATAATATGTTATGCACATTTTAGTGTATAAATTGATTATTGCGATTATAAATGTTAAAAAGAATTGATATAAAAATTTAAGAATTAAATTTAAAGGATAATAAATATTTAAAACCTTAAAATGTTGAGGATAAATGAAAAAATAAAATAAAAGAGAGTATCCGAAAAAGGATGCACTAAATATATTAATTTCAAGAAAAAATAATTGATCTAAACCAATAAATAAGGAAACATAAGTAAGTTTTCTTAAAATTATGATAATTTTTTATTTGTTGACATTAAACTTGATAAAGGTAAAATAAGTTTTAGAAATTAGGCGATGTCTATATAGTTTTCCGATTGTAATTGTTGATAATGGCGAAGACTTAGGCTCAACCAGCAGTTTTTCCGATCTGGTTGAACGTTATATGAGCAGAAGACTTAGGGTCGGTGCAATCACCCATGCCACGGAAACTCATCCTCTTAATAATGGCGACTAAATTGGCCTGCACATTTATACCAAAAAATAAAATCATAAGTATAAAAAAGAGCTATAAAAAAAAAAGTAAGAGGAAACAAAGTAACAACACTCACCATAACGTTATACGCCTCTGCCGCTCCTTGGAAGCACTCTGTATGCCTCTTTCTAGGGTCCATAACAAATGCCATAGTCTTGACCTGGTACCATGGAAAGTACTCGTCACCTGTCGTGGGGAAGCCAATGCTATCATCAGAACTCCCAACATTGTGACTAGCTCTATCTTCCCAAATCCGGACATAGTCCTTGTGAAAATCTTTTCAATCCCTTGTCTTGCCATCCCGCCCTATCTTGTGCAGATTCATTAAGGGTTCTTTTGCCATAAGCAAATTACCATCAGGTATGCCTGTTTGAATCCAAATTGCCTCATAAGCGCACAAGGAATGTGTGCCTCAACGACATTAAAATAGATCAGATCGGTCTCCGATCTGTAGATGTGATGGCCGGCAAGGCAAGATGGGTGATCGCTATCGAAAATAGTGGGCGAATAAGGTGACCACACGAACTGAAATATGACAAATGTATTCTTACAAAAAATGGATTAACAAAAAAGTGATCAGATTACAAAACACTTGTTTAAATAAAAAATAATAATAATGATAACAAGGAACGCTTATATGGTACGAATGTATAACTCCGACTCTTGAAGAATAGCAAATTGATCCCTATAGGCAAGCAGATTATTTGTCGTGATATTCTTGACAATTTTGGGACATCTCCACCTGCATTGCTAATATAGCGTCAAATTAGCCAATGTACACAATATAGAATACAAATCCAATTCATTAAAATGATGCTTACTTTCTGGCAAGGGGACATTCCCCAAGATCTTGTGGCTCTAGACATCGTAATTTTTGCTGGATATTCTTAATCCTCTCCCAAGCCCAAAATTGTCCAAATAAAAATATTATATGTTAATATGAAGTTTTTTTAAAAAAAATCACATAAAATCACGAGATATTGTGTAGTATATATACCTGTACGAGTAGCAAACATCCGTATATGGATTTCCCCTTCTCCATTGAAGCTTTGCACAACTCTCTATACAAGTTGCCTAGCACGGCACTCCCCCAACTTAGTTGTGCTCAACTCTCAACGTCTTCTAGTGGGCCTACCAAAAGAAACGGGATACTATCCCTATTTGAGTCAGGGAACAGTAAACCTCCTAACATACATGGCACTAGACAACGGACCCGCTGTAGGTGTTCCTCCATTGATGCCGTCGAAGATATGGCATTATTCAAGTGAGCGTACAGATCAGTGAGATAGAGTTTTCCGTCTGCCACATGGGCCTCACTGAGGCAAAATCCGAACAACCACAACAAATATGGACCCCATGACTTATTCTCAGGCTTGACCTCAGGTCCAGTAACCGGCTCCCCATCCACCTTAAGGCCTAGAATGACCTCTACATCCTGAAGGGTAACGGTCACCTCAACTATGGGAAAATGGAAAGTATGGTCTCTGGACGCCATAGCTCGACCAGAGCAGTAATCAGGGCCTAGTCAAGGAATATAGAACCGATACGCCTAAGCAGGCCAAAACCCATTTTATCAAAAAATATGTCTCTGGCTTTTCTGATTCTAAGATTTCCAATAGAGTTCCGCCCTGCTGTCTACACTCTATTTCTTCTTTGAAATTGGGATTGCCATGGAAAACGTGATAGGACCTATGAATTTTTTGGAGATATAGCACGTCGTCCTGTACAGGTCCCTGTCGGAGCTCATTAGGTACATCCTGCGAACTCCTAGAAGATGATCCCTCCATTTATTTTTTTATTGTTTCAAAAAATATAAAATCATATTTTTGAAAAAAATTAAAACAAATAGTGTTTGAGTTTAGGGTTTGGGGTTTGGAATTCTGGTGTCTATCTTTATAACCCTGCAGACTAAATTACAACAAACACCCCCTATCTAAATTGTTATATAAATTATTAAAAACAGAATAAACAAACAAAAGCCAAAAAAATAATATACAAACGAACAAAAACGAAACTAAATTATGAAAAAACAGAATAAACAAACGAAAGCCAACCATTAGAAAATAATATACAAACAAACGAAAACAAAACTTAATTATTAACTAAATTATGAAAAAACAGAATAAACAAACAAAAGCAAAAAAAAATAATAATAATAATAATATACAAACAAACAAAAACAAAACTAAATTATTAACTAAATTATTAAAAAATGGAATAAACAAACAAAAGCAAAAAAAAAACCACCACCCCTCCCCGCCGCCTTAAACCCAACTCCTCCCCCCAGCCCCCTCCAACTGCCTCCTCCCTCGCCGCTTGACACCCACCACCACCACCTCACACTGCCTCCTCCCTCGCCGCCTGAGACCCACCGCCACCACCCCAGACTGCCTCTTCCCGCCGCGTGAAACCCAAACACACACCCCCCGCCCTCCAACTGCCTCCTCCCTCACCGCCTGAAATCCACCACCACTACCCCAAACTACCTCATCCCGCCGCCTGAAACCCAAACACCCCCCTGTCCCACAGTGCCTCCTCCTGAAACCCAAACACGAACCAACAAACCCCCCCACTCCAATCTAGATCTAAAACTATAATAAATGAAAAATTCGAACTTAATTAAATGGCATACCTTCAACGGATTCAAGGAACACCGACGGTCGCTCCTCCCCCTAGTCACCGGAAAAAAAAAAGGGGTTGAATTCGGTCAGATGCGGTTTTCTTAAATGGCCAAAAAAAAAGTTACAGGAAAAGGTAGCCAGGGAGTTTCAAACCTGGCACCTTTGATATGAAAGTGAAGGAGAAGAGTAAATCATTTAATCCGAAATGGCACATCTGATGAGATATGGCATTCTAATATATATATATATACTAGTGATGTCTGGTCGCGCATTGTACGACCCTGGCCCAGTCTATCTGTAAATCGTATAAATGTTTATATTTGAAAAATAAATAAAATTTTGTATTTGGAACGATATATTTTAGAAATGTTTGAAGGATTTAGAAATGTTTTATAAGTGCTATTATAGAAATATTTGTATTTCACAAAAAAAAAAGAAATTGTATTTCGCCATATATGTTTTAGAAATGTTTTATAAGTGTTATTTATTAAATATAAATAGCCTTAATCGAATATATGTTTTGAAGTAAATGTTAGATAAAATATAAAAACATCTTAATAAATTTAAATATTAGTAAGATGATTTATTGATGTTCTCCATTGGTCGTGCCAAATCAATACTTAGTTTTAGAGATTTTTAATAGCTTTGTAATAAGTTTAATTCGAAGGGTATACGCTTAAAACAAAATTGACATTTTGTAACAAAAACCTAATTGATCAATTCAATTTAAAAAAACAACTCTAGTTGAATGAAACATAAAGAAAAAATTAAAAAAAAAAACGTGTCACGTAAAGTGCAAAGGGAGATTTAGTAATTTAGTTATGGTTAGACAAAAGGGCAATTTAATACTTTCTACATGCCACGTGGCAATCATATAAGGTGTTTGAAAGGGAGATTTTTGTTTCTAATATAATAGGTTATGTAAATAGTACTTACTTGTACTAAAAAAAAAAGTTGCGAATGAGTTTCGAACCTAGCACCATTTATTTGAAAATGAGGGAGTACACCAAACCATTTAAGCTAAAATGTCACATCATATGGCATTTTAATATATATATATATATATATATGTAAATAGTATTTAGTTGTACTAAGAAAAAAAGTTGCCAAGGAGTTTCAAACCTGGCACCTTTGATTTGAAAATGAGGGAATAGAGCAAACCATTTAAGCCAAAATGACACATCTAATAAATTAAGGCATTTTATTATATATATATATATATATATATATATGTGTGTGTGTGTAAATAGTACTTAGTTGTACTAAAAAAAAAGTTGCCAATGAGTTTCAAACCTGGCACCTTTAATTTGAAAATGAGGGAGTAGAGCAAACCATTTAAGCAAGAATGACACATCTAATAAGTTTAGGCATTTTATTATATATATGTGTAAATAGTACTTAGTTGTACTAAAAAAAAGGTTGCCAAGGAGTTTCAAATTTAGCACCTTTGATTTGAAAATGAGAGAGTAGAGCAAACCATTTAAGCTGGAATGGCAAATATAATAACCCAAGGCATTTTATTATATATATATGTAAATAGTACTTAGTTGTACTAAAAAAAAAAGTTCCCAAGGAGTTTCGAACATGGCACCTTTGATTTGAAAATAATAGAGTAGAGCAAATCATTTAAGCCGAAACGGCACATCTAATAGCTTAAGGCATTTTATTATATATATATATATATGTATATATATATATGCACATAGTACATAGTTGTATTAAAAAAAAAACGTTGCCAAGGAGTTTTGAACCTAGCACCTTTGATTTGAGATAGAGGGAGTAGAACAAACCATTTAAGCCGAAATGACACATCTAAGAAGTCAAGGTATTTTATTATATATATATGTACATAGTACTTAGTTATAAACCAAATTAGATCTTTTCACTAATATAATACATAGTTATACATAAACAAAATATGAAGTATTTCTCCCCTTCAACACTTAGTAATACTCAATTATTAAACAAATTTGATATTTTTACTAATGTATACTTAGGTATACACAAAGCAGTGTATGTTATAAACCAAATTAGATCTTTTTACTAATATAATACTTAGTTATACTTAAAAAATTCCTATTATTGAACAAATATGATCTTTTTACTAATGTATACTTAGTTATGCACAAAACAGTGTATGTTATAAACCAAATTTGATCTTTTTACTAGTGTCATTGCCATCTTCTTCATCAAAGGATTCACCCGATGGGACGTGTTCGTCGTCACTACCAGCCTGTTCCCTACCGTTCTCTTCACCCTTTTCATCTTCACTATCTTCATTTTGACTATCAACACTTGTACCTGCACCACTTGTACCTGCACCAGTAGCTTGCCCAGATGAATCAACCCCACCAATTGGCACAAAACAAACGTACAATTCAGGCCAATTCTGTGACACTAGGTATACCCTCGTCGTCATGAATATGCAAATACCCCCTTCTACCAGAACTATCAGTCCACACTAGAACAAAACTCACTGTCACCCTTCCCTTATCAAAAGCAGCAGCTCTACAGACCTTGTCCACGAGTTCAATGTAATTCAACTCGCGGTCAATAAACATTGTTTTGTCTGCTATTCTGTTGTTCACAGCAACAATTCTATTTACAATTTCAATACCGCTAGTCCAGTACACATTCAGACCAAACAGACCAGGGAAAGACATTTTCGATACCTGTACAAATAATTTAAACCCCATATTAAAATGTTTCCAACAGTTAATATAGAAAATATAAAGCGTCCGTCTGATTCAAATGTTGTATTCAACTATCTAATTTAAATAAATTACTTATCTCATCTTCACATCTATACATCAATTAAATCTATATTCTAATCTTTTCACCAAAAATAAATCTATATTCTAATTTTGTTCCTATACCCAACATAAAGTCTAGAATTAATTCAACCATATATTCATCTTTAAAATACACACATTCAACCAATTCACCCATTTCATACATCAAAATTATATCATTCATCCATAATTCTATAATAAAATATAAAGACAACAATCTATACAATAGAGCGTGCAAATCTAAACATAATTGAGGTGGTAGAGAGTAGAAACTTACCAAAATGATTCAAGCACCAATGCTTCTTTCAAATTTTCGCATTGCTTTCGCCGGAATTTTGCATTTCCGATTGGAAGCTCTCAAAGCTAAAATCATATAATGAAGACTGAAAGAAATGACTATTCGCGTTCTGTTTTGGCAGATATTTGTACTAAATTCCGCATAGGAGGAATGCGGCTTTATAAGTTTTTTTTGTCATCTACCACGTGTCATTACCGCAAGACCTGTTCATGTTTTCTAGATAAGACTTAAAACCGCCTAGGAGGATGCAGTTTTTATCAGCTGCCACGTGTCATTACCGAAAGGCATGTTCAAGTTTTCTGGATAAGACTTAAAATTGCATAGGAGGAATGCGGTTTTTATTTCAGCAAATGGAGTATGCGGTTTTGGATTTGAACATTCAAATTTTGCCACCTTATGAAATTATTTTATTAAAATAGTAATTGTCAATACCGCATTTAGGATTTGCGGTTTTATTTATTACTTTTTTATTTGACATAAAAAATCGTGCCAGTTTTGACGTTTTTTTAAAAAAAAATTAAAGAAACTGCATTCCATGTACACGGTGTTTGTAATTCATTTCATTAAGATTTCCGCAATGCTATGTTGAAGAAAGGGTATTTGTTTCTACAATTTAAAAACCTAGAACCATATGTGTCCACAAATGGTCCTTTCAAGGGCATTAATCTCAAGCTCCCTAGAATTCCGCACCAATGCGATGAATAATGCCTTGAACAAATGTATCATTGTTCCCTGTAATGATCACATCATCGACATAGATCAAAAGAAAACACACACAATTAGG